GGCTGTCCTGCGCACTGGGGATGGAGGCCCTTCTGGCCGAGGCTGCTCGCACTCTAGTAAGAGGAGTAGGATGACGGGCAGGAGTGGCGAGGGCTCTTCAGGAGGTGGAGGAGTCACTGGTTGTCAGGGAAGCTTCTCGGAGGAATAGCTGCCGCAGCCACCGCCGACAGGACGAAGAGGAGCTAGCTAGGGGGCGGGAGGGGAAAGACTCCGGGGGGAGGGGAAAGACTCCCCGGGAGGAGGGAACCTTCGGCGAGGCCCGAGGCACTCAGATCCCCCACCCGGGAAGAGACGCCCTCGGCGGGAGAGAGCCGCCCCTCCCTCCCTTTAAGGCGGAGCGCCCGGGTGCGAGACGTCGGGGGCGGTGCCAGGGCCCCTCGCGGCCGCTGATTGGACGGCGCGGCCGAGCGGAGCCGCCCCGCGGGCGCCGATTGGGTGGGCGAGGGCCGAGGTGACCTGGGCGCTGGTTCCCGCGGCCACGTGGGGGGCGCGCTGGGAGGGGGGGCGCTGGGAAGGAGGTGGCAGGGGAGGGGCGGGCTCCCGGGTGGGCGGTGGAGACGCTCGGGGCTGCGCGGGGGTCGCAGCGCTGAGCTGCAGGACGGGACTTGAGACGCGGCGGCCGCGGTGAGTGAGCGCCGGTGAGCCGGGCGGGGGCTGGGACTGGCTGACCAGCGGGAGCGGGACTCGGTCCCCAGGCGCGGAGATGGGGGAAGTTCTCGGATGGGGAGAAGCACCTCTGTCCCTTCCCTATCACCGTCATCATCCATCACCTCCACCATCACCATCCGTCACTTCCACCGCCCCTCCGCCAGCGTCCTGCCTCGCTCGCCCCTCCGTCGGTCCGAGGACTTTCTCCGTCCCGGGCCGGCCGGGGACTGTCAGCTGAAAGCCCTGGCAGCGCTCCCCAGGAATAAATACCCACGCTGTGGAGCGCTCCGTACCGCCTGGGCGCTTACCGCGTATGTGGTTTGGCCCCAGTTAATCCTGAAAACAGCACTTTCCGCTTAATGTCGTCTGTACGGAGAGACCGCCCTGCACTGATAGCACCGCCTTCCCCACCCCACACGCACACACATCTCGTATCTTCTTCACCCTGCTGTATTTTCCTCCAGGTAACTTAAGCCCCCTGAAATATTTGGGCTTTTAAAAAATTTATTTATTTTATTTATTTATTTTTTTTGCCTGCGTGGGGTCTTTGTTTCTGTGCGCGGGCTTTCTTCTCTCGTTGCGGTGAGCAGGGGCTACTCTTCCTTGCGGTGCGCAGACTTCTCATTGCGGTGGCTTCTCTAGGCGCGCGGGCTTCAGTAGTTGTGGCACTTGGGCTCAGTAGTTGTGGCTCGCGGGCTCTAGAGCGCAGGCTCAGTAGCTGTGGTGCACTGGCTGTTGCTCTGTGGCATGTGGAATCTTCCCGGACCAGTGCTCGAACCCGTGTCCCCTGCATTGGCAGGCGGATTCTTAACCACTGTGGCACCAGGGAAGCCCCTCCTGAAATGTTGATTTCTAGTACCGTCCCCCCAACCCAGCTTGGGTGCTCTGTGAGGGCTGGGACTTTGTTTTGTTCACCTGGCACATAGCGCTTGGAAATATTCTCAGCAGAAACAGATAGATGAACAACTCCAGGAGGCAGCTGCTATTACTATCCCACTTTATGGTTGAGGAAATGGAGTCTGAGAGGTTGTGACTTGTTGGTTACATCAGCCAACCTTGTGGGACCCCACAGTCCACGATCTTGACCCTAGGCTGCATGGTTCAATCTCTTCCACCCTGTGGTCCAGGCAGGTAGGGATGGCACCAGGGGTTGTACTGGGGGCAGGGGGCTCTTCTGTGCTGCTGAGCCAAAGCCAGTGGAGGTGAGGCAGGTGACTGGAATGGCCCTGGCAGCCCCAGACCATCTGGCCCAGGAGGCAGTCGGAGAGAGAAAGCAGCTGTTTTGCTGATCAGATCCACCCCCAACACCGGAGGTGTTCCGGGCCACTGCCGCTGCTTCCTTGACTCACCTGCCCCTGCAGAGGCTGGGACCCACCAAACTCCAAAGGTGGACACCCTGCTCACTTGGGGGAGGGCGCTGCCATGGCCTTGGGAAAGAGCCCCAGAGACCCAGGCTTGCTTCCGAGCTCCCCCGTATGCTGTGTGACCTTGGGCAAGTGACTTCATCTCCTGAGCCACCATGTGCTAAGCACAGAGTCTGCAGGCTGAGTGGTCTCCCATGATGCTGGAAGGTGGGCCCTCCTTATGACAATCATTCAGCTACAGTGCAGTGAAGCAGAGGGCCTCTGTCCGTGACCCTTAAGGTAGTCAACTCATCCAGTTCCCTGTCTCTAAGCAGGGCCACCCGGAAAACCTCAGAGGAGCAAGAGAAGGGCCCCAGTCTCATTTCAAATGTGTCCGCTTAGGAAGGTTCTGGCCCAGAGCCAGGCTCCTGTGCAAAACCTCAGAAAAACAGGTCTGATCCAAAGGGATAAGTGGGTGTCTGTGCCTGGAACAGGTAAGCGGGTCTGTTTCCAGGGTTAGGGTGAGCCTGCACCCTCCCTGGTCCCCTGGGCAGCCCCCAACTTGAGGACTGGGGCTGAAATGCACTGCACCTCTCAGGCTTGGGGGGAAGAAACTTCCAGTTTTCTGGGGTGGGTGGGGGAAGGATCAGGTGATGGGGGGTGAGGGGTGACCTATAAGAGGGCCAGTGGCCTCCCCACCCACACCCCACAGCCTGCACCCTGGGGTGTTCCCAAGGAAGCTGTGGCTCTGGATCTGGAGGGAGGAGGCTGTTCACAGCCTTAGACACAGCTGTCCTGGCCTGTGTGTGTGCCATAGCCCTCATGGTTCCTTTCCGTCTTAACACTCTTAGCATCTGAGGGGCTGTGTCAGCAGCGCAGGCAGCATGTGAAATGTGCTCGCCATCTCTCCCTCCTCCCATCTCTCCTTTGTCTATATTTCTACTGTCTTTCTTCCCACTCCTCTGTTCCCACTTCTGTTGGCTGCCTTTTCTCCTGGGTTCCTTCACTCTCTCCCTTTTGCCCCGTTTGGTTTTTAGTCTTTGCCTCCTCTGTCCCGCCTGCACCCACCCTCTCCCCCCCACCGCCCCACCCACGGGTTCGGGGCATCCCAGCCCAGGATGTGATTATGAAGTTGAAAGGCGAGTTCCCTGGAAGCCCCATCTCCATACCCAGAACCGAGGCCACGTAGCTCTTGTGCCAGTTACACACCTAACTTGCCGTATTTAAACATAAAATGACAGTAGGTAATGGACATGATGTGAAAAATAATTAGGATCAAAAAGCAAAGAGGTGGCCAGGAGGGCGGAACCAGGAAGTCTTCAAAGGGACCATGCAGCCTTTATTTGCTGGCTCTTCCCTTACTGGCTGCTCACTGGATGTGGTCAATTGCTGCTGGTGCCCCCACCTGGCCTGAGCCTGGGGTTGAAGGTCAGGGGCAGGCTGAGGTAGGGGCCGTTCCTGGGCCCTCGGCGCTGAATCAGCTCCAAAGCACCCAAACCCTCCTTCTCCAGGACTCCTGCAGGTGCGAGAGCACACCTGGGATGCACCCATTTCCTGCCCAGCGCCCTGTCTGACCCTGCTTTCTCCTGGCAGGAATCATGGCCCCCAGGCAGGCCCCCTCCCCTCCTGGACCGGGTGGTCTCTTCTCAGGTGTGGCCTGGTACAAGGAGGGCACTGAAAGTGGTCAGACCTCGCTGTCCTCCCAAGCTCCTGCCTGACCATCAGGTTTGGGGGTTCCCCATCCCTCGTGAGACTGTACTTGTTGATCACAGCTCCGAGCCTGGCAGGCATCGTGCTGGGTTCTGTGCCTCCATTCAATTCTCATTGACTCCTCATGTTATCCCAGGTTTGGGGACAAGGAAATGGAGGCTCAGAGAGGTGAGGCAGCTTGCCCAAGGTCGCACAGGATTTGGACCCAGGTCTCTCTGATCCCAAGTGCAGTGATTACAAGTAGCCTGGTGAGATGGAGCCCGCCAGGATGGGGGATGGAGGTGGGGGGTCTGAGTTGGCCCCAGGGAAGCCTGAGGGAGCTGAGTCCCTGGGACCTAGGCAGAGGCATTCAGCCATTCTGTCTGTGATTGCGTTTATTCCACATTCACTGAGCACCAGCTGTGGTCTGAGCTCTGACGGGGAGTAAGTGCTCTCCCTGCCCTTGAGGACGGTCTAGAAGGCAGCTTTCCTCCTCTTCCCCCCCGTTGGATCTGGGAGAGGGGCCCCAGGAAAGACCAGAGCCTGGGGTGGGCTGGGGCAGGGCTCCTCAGCACCCCTGGGACAATTGTCCACCCTCCCTACCCCCTGCCTCAGCATCAGTGTCCGGTCTGGTTGGGGTGGGGTCTTCTGGCAGGGGCTGGAGTCAGGCTGGGCGGAAGGAGCCAGGGCCCCGTGATGCAGCCTCGGCCATCCAGTGCCCCCTGCCCCTGTGGACTCCAGAGCTCCTGTCCTGGAACCTGCTGTGCTCCCCACTGCCCACAGGGCAGAGCCCCAGTGTGACATTTAAGGCCGATCGATCCCAACCTGGCTGCTGCTCTGCTAAGTTCTACCTCAGGGCCCCAGCTGCCTTCACTCCTCCGTGCCTTTGCAGACTCTGTCCTCACCACTGTCACATCCCTCCTCTTGGGTGCTGCCTTCTCAGGCTGTCCCCCTCCCCTGGCGCTTTGCACAAGCTGGTTACATGTCTGCACCCCCTTCCTCCAGCTCTTTCCTGAAGCTCACTCCTCAGCGAGGCCTTCTCGGCTGTAGTCAACCCCAGCCTGCCCTTCATTTCCTCCTCTCTGCTTTATCACCATCTAGCATATTCCATATCTTACTTATTATTTAGTTTACTGTCGGCTCCGTGAGGGCAGGCAGGGAGTTTGTCATTTGGGTCAGGGCCGTGTGTCCCCTGGGTCCCAGCGCCCGGGATGCTGCCTGGCACACAGCCAGTGCCCAGGTGGGGTTTGTTGGATGCAAGAGCTTGGTGGCCTCTGACGGGCGCTCTGAGGCTCGACCGCCTGGGCACCAGCCCTCCTCCCCCGCCCTTTGCAGCCTTCTCTCCTGCGGACCCCGAAGCCGGGCACCCTGGGGGCCATGCAGAAGGCCGGGGCCGGGGGCCGGAGAGCCTCCGACTGCGGCCCTGCCCCTCACCGGCCCAGGTGCATCACCAAGTTTGCCCAGGTGGGTGGGGCCGCCCCACGAGGTGGGCTCCGATGGGCCATGACTGGGTGGCAGGCCTTGGGGGTGGGCAGGAGCCGTGGGTCACGGGCCTATTTCGGTGGCCCCAGCTCTGGAGTGTGTGTGCACTGATGAGGCGATGGGGCCGCAGGGGGGCTGAGTGGCTTCACCAGGGAGAGTAGCAGAGCCTGGACTCCGAGTCCGCGCTCTGTCACTGTCCACAGCCTACCCGACAGAGCAGAGTGCATGCGTGGAGGGCAATTTGGAGGACGGGGGTCAGGAGCCATGGGCCTGACTCCCTGTGCTGCCCTCCCACCCCCTACCCTACCCCCAAGCAGTACGTGGGCTCCTTCCCCGTGGACGACCTGGACACCCAGGAGAGCGCGTGGCTGGTGCAGCAACAGCTGTGGGCACTGAAGGTAGGGGGCTGGGGGGGGGGGCGCACTTCCCTGCGGGGGATCATGGCCCGAGACCCTGTGAGCCATCCCAACCTCCATTCAGAGAGATGGAGCAAGTGAGGCCCAGGGAGGGGCAGGACCAACGCCGTTCTGAGAGATGGGCCCAGTCAGGACCACACCCGGGCTCCTGGAGCCACGCCCCTGAAGCCCTGGGGCCCCCTCCCTTGGGCAGTCATGACCTGTGCCCCACAGGTGGAAGCCACAGGTGGGAGAGATGGGGGGGTTGGTCATAACATGGCCCAGGGGTTGGTCTGCCAGGAGCCATCCACACTTCCCCGGCTCCTGGGGGGGGGGGGGCCCCCCCTGGCCGCTGGGGTAGAGTTGGCTGACCAGCCCAGGGGGACTAGTACAGAGGCTGGGCTGGGCAGGGCAGGGCCTGGGAGGTAATGTCTGCCCCCCACCAACTGTCTCCCTCGCAGGACTGTCCCCACCGCCGGGCTGTCATCCTGAAATTCAGCCTTCAGGGCCTCAAGATCTACGGTGGGGAGGGTGAGGTAGGAACCTGTGTGGGTGCAGGTGAGGACCGGACGGGTGTCCTACTCCCTGGGAATGCACTTGCCTCCACCCAGCCCTGCACTGCCCCTCCAGCCTCCCTGGCTGCCCAGCCTGCTCTGGGCCTTTGGGCGTCCTCTCTCCAAGGCCCTCCCGCCCTGGCAAGCGTGGACGACAGTTTCTCCTCCCTCTCACCCGCCGGCTGCCAGCCCACCAGAATCTCCGGGGGCCACCTCCTGGCCTGAGCATCAGGGCCAACCAGCCCCATGAGGTTTCTGTGGGTCCCCGGGCTTGGCCAGTGGGCTGTGGCTAGCCTCCCATGACTGTGGAACAGGGCCAGGCAGGCTGGAGGCCAGTTGGGAGCCCCTGCTTGGTCTGCCATCCTCCTCTTGGTGCAAACCAGTGTTTGATGAACACTAAACCGCGTGCCAGACTGTGAGACCCACAACACCGGCACCACTCACCTAGGACTGGTGCAAATGTGTGCAGAGCTGTGCATTGTGGGGCCCTGGGTTCAGGGCCTGTGCCACCTGCATGAGGTCTCGCTCACCCCCCAGCGCCACTTGTCACAACAAGGACTCAGAGAGCTGCCCTCACCGGCCCAAGTCACCTGGAGAGTGAGTCGCAGAGCCAGGATTTGAACCCCGGTCACCTGACTCCAGAGACCAGGCGTGCAAGGCCAGGGCTGGCCACAACTGCCTGTCCCTGTGACCCTCAGGCCGTGAACCCTCTGCCCCTCAGCTCCATAGCTTGGCATGACCACCCCAGCCAGCAGCTTGGCAGCAGGGAGCAAGGGACCCGAGCTCAGGTCCCCTCTGAAGGATGAGGGTTCCCATGTGAAGCGTGGTTTGGGCAGGCCTGGAAGGAGGGCAGAGTTCTTCACCCCAGGAGCAGGGTGGGCCCGAAGCTGGGTGTGCAGGCTGGAGAGCAGATCTGGGAGGCCTGCCAGAGGGTGTGCGGGGCCCTCGTCTGGCACACGCTGGGCTGGCAGCTGCAGACCACGCGGTGGGTCTGATGGAGGCCGGTGTGCCTGCTGCATCCCCAGGTGCTCCTGATGGCTCATGCCCTGAGGCGCATACTCTACTCCACCTGGTGCCCAGCCGACTGCCAGTTTGCCTTCATGGCTCGAAATCCCCGGAGCCCGGCCAGCAAGCTCTTCTGCCACCTCTTTGTGGGCAGCCAGCCTGGAGAGGTACCTGGGGCCCAGGGCAGGGGACGCAGCACTCGGGGTGGGGGGCGGTGCTGTGCATCAGTGTGGGTTCCAGGGACCAAGGCCCTGGACGGCTGAGCCAAGCTGGCCTGCGCCCCCTCCAGGCATGCACCCCTTGCCACCCTGGCTCCTTCTGTGGCCCTGCCCTCTGAGGACTCCCTCAAAGCGAGTCAGTGGCCTTAGCATTCCCCGAGCTTGGAGGTGGGGACCAGGCTGTGCCCTTAGAGATCAGAGGGTCACACTGCCAGGCCTTTGCCCTTGCTGTTCTCTCTGCTGCAACCCCTTCCCCTTCTCATCCTGGCAAATTCCAACTCGCCCTTTGAGGCTCAGCCCGTGTGTCTGTGGAGCTCACCTTGAATCCTCCAGACCGCCCCCCACACTTTCTGTGGTCCTGTGACACGATCTGCACTCTGTCATCGGTCTGTCCCTAACTACAGTCACTGGAATTCTTTGAGAGCAGAGGCTGGGTCTGGGTCTTGAACTGTTCTGGTGCTAGGCCCCGTGGGGAGAGTGGGTGGGCGGGTAGATCCCGAAAGTCAAAGCCAGTGTGGCCGCCATGAACAGTGGAGCCTCGGCAGCCAGTTGTTTGGCAAGCAGAGGCTGGGCTTGGTTCTGCGCAGCAAGCATTTGCCGTCACCCCTGTATGTCAAGCCCTGTGCCGGCCACTGGAGTGACAGGTGGCTGAGACATGGCCCTTGATCTGGAGCTCACAGTCCAACGTGCCGGGCCTGGATGGTGTGTGTCGCGGATGGAATGTGTGGGCCCCAGAGTGCTGGGCTTCTCCAGGGGGTTTTCTGTGGTCCGTTTTCATTAAAGGGGCACAGGGAGGTGGGGAGGAGGAAACTGAGGCACAGAGATGCCATGCTGTACCCAGGGTCACACAGCAGCTCCTAAGTGACAGAGCCAGGATTGGATCCCATGTTGGGTGACTTCAGGGCCTGGGCTCTTAGCCACTCCTCCAAGAGGGTACAATGCACAGGGTGAGGGTAGTAAACCTAGGGGTAGGAGTGCATTTAGCCCATGTCGTCGCAGCTCCAAGCATGATATGCGCCCCCCCCCCGGTGCCTGGGTTGATGCCTGAGGAGGCCCCCAGGAAACCTCCCCCAGCTGAGCCCACCTCCCTCTCCCTCCCCAGGTCCAGATCCTGCACCTGCTGCTCTGCCGCTCCTTCCAGCTTGCTCACCTCTTGCGGCACCCTGAGGAACGGGCACGGCATGAACCCTGCCCGGGACCCGTAGGGGACGTGCCCCTGAAGCCCCTGTCGGGCCCTGGGGGCACCCCTGGCCTAGTACGGGAACCCCTCGGCGGTGATGAGCTCTCACAGCACGTTAACGCACTGATCTCCTTCGGGCAGCTGCCAGCAGGGGGGCCTGGGGGCAGTGGGGTACGCGGCACCCCAGCCAGGGAGTGGGCCATGGACAAGGGAACTGGGCGAAGGTTTGGGGATCAAGAGGTGCGGGTGCTGGACTTCCGTGGGAGGGGCTAATGGCTGGGCCTGAGTCTGGCCACCCCTGTGGGGTCCTCTTGGTGCCCTAGAAGGAGCCACCGGAGTCGGAAAGCCGCGGGGGCGCCCGCCACACCCGCCTGGGGAACCCGTACTGCTCGCCCACGCTGGTGCGCAAGAAGGCCATCCGCAGCAAGGTGATCCGCTCCGGGGCCTACCGCACCTGCACCTACGAGACGCAGCTGCAGCTGTCGGCTCGGGAGGCCTGTGAGTGGCCGGGCACGGGTACGCGAGTCGGCGAGGGTGGGCCTGAGCGTCCGTGTCTGCGGCGCCGTGACTGTCGATGCCTGCGCCTGGGAGTGCTGAGGCCTCGTGTCCACGCGAGGGAGGGCGGGAGGGCGCAGCCAGGGCTGTGTGCCCAGGGGCTTGCAGAGGCGACTGCGTAGCTGCCGATGTGCTGTGACTGGGGAGTGGCTGTGCCTGGAGATGTGCCTGGGCGCCGCTGTGCCTCTGGGGAAGCAGGATGTGTGCAGACTGGGCCGGGAGCAGCGGGGGTGATGAGGCCTGTGGGCATGGGCCGGGCTGGGTGCGGGAGGGGACCACCTCTCTTCCTCTGAGCCCTGGATGGTCTCTATAGTTCCTGACGCGTGGGAGGCCTGGCCTCGGGGTCCTGGGGGCCCCTCATGCCTGGTGGAGAGCGAGGGCAGCCTGACGGAGAACATCTGGGCTTTTGCTGGCATCTCGAGGTAGGAGGGGTGCCCAGCCCTTTTGGGGGGCGTCAGAGAAATAGGCTGTGGGCTCCCCCAAGGCCCTGAGATGTGTCCATCCCTGCACTTGGGCGGAGGCCTCCTGACCTCGGGACCTCAGGCCAGGGGCTTCCCCACCGTGGGCCTCAGTTTTCTCAAGTGTGAAGTGGAGATAATAAAAGGACCTTCATTGCAGGGCTGTGGAGAGGATCAAATGAGGTTATTCACGCTGGCCTGTCACAGGGTTCAGCTCCCTAAATGCCAGCTCTCTACCGACTGGGTCTTGAAGTTGTCAGCAATTAGGACCCCCTTGGAAACCTTTCAGAAGGGAAGGCTAAAAGCTTCCTTCCGTTGCGGGCCTACTCTGGGGCAGGCACTGTGTTTACGATGCTGTGGAGCTGTGATGCCATTAAGCAAGCTGAGGCTGGGTCCTGACTAGGGGGCCCGCCCTCAGCCTCTCCCCTCTGCCCTCCCAGGCCCAGTGCCCTCGCCCTGCTGCGGAGAGATGTGCTTGGGGCCTTCCTGCTGTGGCCTGAGCCAGGCACCAGTGGCCAGTGGTGCCTGTCGGTGAGGACACAGTGCGGCGTGGTGCCCCACCAGGTCTTCCGGAACCACCTAGGCCGCTACTGCGTGGAGGTAAGAGTGCTCTTGGCCCTGCCCCTCGCCCTCCAGCCCCGCCCTTTTCTAACCACTGAGGGCCTGAGGCCGCCTCACCCTCATCCAGGGCCCCCATTGGCTCTCTCTGGCCCCACCCCTTATTTAACTCTCCATCCAGCTCTTTCGTCCTTGGCCCTTCTGGCCCCGCCCCCACTGGCCTATTGGCCCCACCTGTACTCTGCTGGCTCCACCCTAAGGCCTCTAGCTCCAGGGAGGTAGTCTTAGGCTAGGGTCATGCCTCACATTTTTACAGAGATCCCGGCTTTTAAAAAGTCACGCTTTCCCACACCCTAACTCATCTTTTAGCAGTAGAGGAAACTGATCAGAGAGGGTAGAGGCTTGCGACACAGCCTCCGAGTCTCTAGGTCTGGAGTCTTGGCCTGATCACAGGTTTCCAGGGACGGGGGTGGGCAGGAAGGACTTTTTAAATGTGTGGCCTTACTTCCACACTGAGTGCCTCAGTCCTGTCCAGGCTGGGAGGAGAGAAAGGGAGGGAACCAGCGTGTGGTTCTGCTGTGAGCTGGACAGTGTCCTCTCTGGGCTCGAATATCCTCCTCCCTCCTGGGGCAGGAACCTGTGTGAGGGGGCGGTTGTGTGGAAGGGGGAGCTAGAGCTGAAGTCCCTTCCACTCCTTACCCCCACCAGCACCTGCCGGCTGAGTTCCCCAGCCTGGAGGCCCTGCTGGAGCATCACGCTGGGACGGAGCGCAGCCTCTTCTGCTCCCTCGACATGGGCCGCCTGAACCCTGGCTACGAGGAGCAGGACTGCGGGCCCGAGGGCAGTCTTCCCCGGAAGCTCCGGCCCCTTGGCCATGCCAAGTCCGAGGCAGAACTGCAGGGCCTGGGCTAGGACGCTGAGCCCCACGCCAAGAGGCCCTGCCTCACCCTGGCTCCTGGGCCTCAGCAGGCTGCTGTGCTCTGCCCTTCTTCCACCCCGCTGGGCACCAGTTCCATCCGGTCACTGCCCTTTGGACCAGTCTTCCATCACTACCCTGCCTGTGGGCGGAGCCCTGAGAGTGGGGATTGCCAGTGGCTTCTCACACGGCCTGTCAGGATTGCAGGAGGGGCAGGCAGAGCTCCAGGCTTCCGTGAACTTGCTGGGTGACTCTGGGTGCTTGTCTTCTCTGGGCTTCACCTTACTCCTAGGTGGGGAGCTTTCCAAGGTGGGCGGGAAGGTTTGCTCCAATAGAGGTGGAGCCCTCTCCTAAGGAGGCCAGGCCTTGGGGCCCTGGCTGGGCATCTCCAGAGAGCTCCTGACCACGGCAGCCAGACACGTGAGGGAGAGGTATCTGGGGAGGCAGGAGTGAGTTCTCACTTTGGGCGAAGGCGTGGGGACGAGCCACCCTCTCCGTGAGAGAAACAGGGATGACGTGGTGGAGCTTGGCGACTACATCCAGGCTGACGGAGCGAGGCCTGTTTCCCATGTCCTTTGAGGCTAAAGAAGTCTTCCCTTGAGTTCTGAAGAGTGGGGGTTAAGAGGGTGCAGAAAGGGCAGGACGGACAAAGAGCCGTGCCACCCAAAGCCCACATGCAGGTGGACGCCTGTGTGCAGAAAGGGATGTGAATGGGCCGACAGGGCAGAGAATCTCAGTGAACCTTCAGACTAGGAAGGCTGGTTTTTCTCCACTCAAAACCACGGACTTGTGGTTCCTGCTTACTTGGAAGGGATGTCCCAGTCTCATCCCCGCCCACACACCCCTGCCCCGCCAGGCTCACTTTCTTTGGCCATTTGACCAGGAGGGGCCAGCAGTGAGCTGCAGGCTTAGAGGGGTGACCAGGGTCCTGCTCCACTCATCCTGCAGGCCAGACTGGGTTTGGTGGCTGCCTGGGAAGCCCCCCAGTGGTGGCATTTCCCTTAATGGGCATCTGTCAGGGGCCACTTCACAAGGCCAGCCCCCTTGGGGATGGGGGTCAGGGAGGAATCATCCAAAGATAGAACTGATGTGGGCCCTGCCAAAGGGCACTTGGCCTCAGCGGCAGTGGGGGTCCATCCAGGGAAATAACGCTAGTCTAAGGCAATGGCCCTGCGGTGATTGACGACGGATCTGGGTATTCCCCTGTATAAGTAAACTTGACAGACAGGCATGAATCTACCAGATTAAGATAGGGAGCAAGTTCACTTTGGATGAACTTTTATTCCTGAGGCAGAGGCCAAGTCATGATTCTGGGGGCTGCCCTCTCCCCCATCTGGGGAGGGGATGTGACTGCTCAGCGCCTTGAAAGTAACAGACTTCTGACTTCTAGAAGGAAGAGGGCAACCCCAACGGAATAAAAAGAAGGGAGGAGCCTCAGAAGTTCAGGCCTGGTGTTCCCAGCTTACAACCTCCAGCTCAGCAAATGGTCTTGGCTGGGGCCTTGTCACTCTTGTCACAAGGGATGGGAGGAGGCTGTCCTTTGGGGGCTCTTTTCAGTGGAACCACAGTACTGATTTTATACTGAATGTGAGTGGGAACCCAGCCTCATTTTATGGCCATTACTACCAGAACCCATCTCCTCCCTGGGCAAAGCCCTGGTCCCTCGTGGGAGGCCCCAGGCTCACATTTCCCTGGCAAGGAGAGGGGTTTGGTGACATGGGGCCCAGGATTACAGCCCTGGAGTCTCACACATTTAAGAAGACCTGATAACTGGTTTTAACCTCTATAAGGGATGGATTTTGTTGCATAAGTTATCTGTGTGCACAAGGTGTCAGGAATGTTCCCAAAGTACTTTAACGTTCCATCACACAGCATTTATGGATCACACAGTACAAAGGTTTTTGACCCACATGTGCAGACGCCTCAATGTCTTAATTATAGACCACAGTTTTCTCTGTTTCAACCAGTGCCACCTGGGTAGCCCAGCTCTCCTTACTGTGTGGACTTGAAATAAATAAAATTCATTTCTTCGGATTGTATAGTACAGACTTTTACTTTGAGAGGCGAGGTCTTTGTCTGGTTTGCCGGCTTCGCTTCTGTTTGCCAACCATACCTTCCACTGGTGCTGAATGATGAACCAGACAGATATCCTATCCTCCGGGGCTCAGGAGGTCTTGAAGGAATTGGGTAGGTAGATTCAAGCAATGACTCTACTGCTTAAAACCTTCAGTGGGTATTTCCTACAGGAAAAAGACTCAAGTCCTTATATTCTGGCCACTCGGGTTTTCCTTCTGCTCCTGCAACATGCCACAGGGTCTTTGCACAGCCTGCACAGGCCTCCTCATCTTCCTCTTCTGCCTTTACCTGATTAACTCCTCAACCTTACCATCTCTCAGCCTCAGGAAGCCTGCCCTGACTGCCCCCTGATCCCCTGCCCGTCCTGGGTGAGGTTTCCTGGCTAGATATTCCATAAAACTGGTCCTTTAGTTTGTTAACACTCTTATTTATGGGATTTTTGTTTGTGGGACATTTGTTTCAAATGTCAGCCTCCCCCACTAGACTCTGGGCACCTGGAGGGCAGGGACTGGGCTGTCTCTCGGCATCTATCACCGTGCACGGCAGGCACGTAGCTGACAATTTCTGTGCAAAGGGGAGCGTAGAGGAGGTGTGACGGCCGCTATTCTGGAGGAACTTGTGCTCGGGGTTGGGGTGGGGAGAGAGGCCAGGCAGCCTCTCCAACCAAAAGACCAGCTTTCAAAGTTTTTTGTTTTTTTTCTCAATCTTGAGTCTTAATGAAAACAAGGGGCAGTGTTAGAGGGAAGCTTTGCTGTGTCCCCGGGGCTGTGATAGGCTCTGGGGCAGCCTTCCCGAGTCAATACAGGGATGTGGATAAAGGGCAGCAAGGTCCTGTTGCCTTTCTCAGTAGGTCTCTAACCCCCGGATGAGGCTGCTCCTCTAGTATTTCTCTCCGAGGTGGAGTCAAGCCTGGCCTCCCCTGGGCCACCTCGGGCAAGCTGCTTAACCTCTCTGGACTGGGGCTGTGGGGACTGGAGAAGAAAACGGCTGTGCAGCATCTGGCACCGAGCCGGCAGACGCTCCAGCAAAGCCAGTGCCGGTCCTCCCCGACGGCCGCCCCCGCGCGCCGGCCTCCAGCCGGGGGATGCTCTCGGGGCCCGCTGGGCGCGGAAAACGCGCGGACGTTCGGGAGGCACGGGCTGTGACGCCAGGGGCGTTACCCAGCAACCGCGAACGCCGTGGCGGCGTCCGTGCTAGCCGCCGGCTGGGGCGGCTCCGGGGGCCCTGGTCTTACGGTGGCGCCAAAAGCGCTGATCCCCCACTGCCCCCGCCCGGTCCGGGCCTCAGGGACGGGCGAGCCCCGGAGCGGGAGGAGGCGGCGGCTCCGGCTCGGGTCCTGAGACTACCCCGCCGCCCCTTCCCTCCTATCGAGGCGTCCCCCAAGGAGTCCGGTACCCCGGGCGCTGGCCCCGCCCCCCGGCCCCAGCGCCCCGGCGTCCCCTGCCCCGAGGTCCTGTGTCCTGGTCGCGGCTTCCACGTCGGGCCGCACCCCGGGGACCCCTGCCGCGGCGCCATGGCCTCGGAATCGGTGAAGGTGGTGGTGCGCTGCCGCCCCATGAACCAGCGGGAGTGGGAGCTGAACTGCCAGCCTGTGGTGATGGTGGACTCCGCGCGCGGCCAGTGCTTCATCCAGAACCCGGGCGCCGTCGACCAGCCCCCCAAGCAGTTCACTTTCGACGGCGCCTACTACATGGACCACTTTACCGAGCAGATCTACAACGAAATCGCCTACCCGCTGGTGGAGGTGAGGACGCCCGCGAGGCCGCCTCCGAGGACCTGCTGGGCAGGACCTGAGGCCACTCAGAGGGGTCCTGAGGGACTGCCCTGCCCGCAAGCCGGGCGGGAAGGCCCTTCTGGAGGGGTGCAGGTGGACAGCAGCAGGTTGGTCTGAAGACTTCTGTCCTGTCAGCAGACAGCTGGAACCCGTCTACAATGTCTGTCCGGGTCTCCACTGCCCCCCCCCCCCGCCCCGTGCCAAGGCTGGTCCTCACCCCCATCCTTCCAGCCTGCTTCCCACAGGAACTCCAGCCCCCAAGACCACTTGCCCTCCACCCTCACCCAACACCTTCAGGACCTCTCTAAAAGCTCCAGCCACTTCCCCAGCCTCCTCCTCTTCTCCCAAGAGCCCCAGGTCCCCTCCCCCTCCCCCTCCCCCTCTCCTTTCTCCTCCACCCCCTCACTAGTTCCCTGCTTCTGCAGAGAGAAGGCTGTTGGCCTGGCCTTGGTCCTGGAGAACTGGAAACCCTTTACCTTTGGTCTGACTTACCTTCCTTCTTGGCGGTTGAAGAACAGGGAGGCCACAACAGTTTCTGCCCCTTATAGGGCTTTTACTTTTTTTCACACTCTCACACTAGGTAGCCCCTTGGCGCTGCATGACAGGGAGGTTCACATTTCACAGATGGGGAGACTGAGGCCCAGAGGGAGGAAACATGGCAAGCTACCACAGTGAGTTTCTGGCGGAGGTGGGGCTGGACCTACTCCTGGCCCAAGGGCTCTTTCCTTGCTACCACCATCTCCCCAGCTGTACATCGAATCGATAGTGAAGTGAGATGTCACAGGTTGTTTCAGGAAAAAAGGAAAAGTTTGGGAAGTGCTGCATACACCCTCCCTCACTTGAAGCTGCACATTAGGGTACTTGAGGCTCTGGGGAGTCTTGCAGTGGAGAAAATAGTTTGGCTTATTTAACCCAGCATTTCCAAAAGGTATTTGCCCGTGGAACCTTTTTGTTTTGGCCGGCAGGCCAGTTAACATCCCCCAGAGCACCTCCTTTGGCCGCAGTCAAAACTGCCTGTGAGGGTGGAAGTGTTCTGGAACCCAGAGCCCCCCCCACCCCCGTGGTGAGGGCGTGACTGTAGACGATGCCCAGGGAAAGAAGGGGCGGGGCTCCCCAGAGGGCGGCTCTGGAAAGAGGGGGCGGTGC